ACGTGATAATTATGTAAACAATGTCTGTCCAGTTTGTGCGAACTTGCACCTCTATACTTAGTCTTTTGATATATATAACCTAAATTACTGTTCTGAACGAGACAACAGACAGAGAATGTTTTATTTAAAAACGTCACAAAACCTTCTCGCTACCTTAAAAACCAAAAGTTCAATTGCTTTGATATTACATATACCATAGGTACTACATGTGGACCTTTCTCAGATTTGTTCATTTTGTGATGATGTCCTCAATTCTCTAATTTTGGTGAATATTTTTGTCATTTTTGGTAAAAAGTGATATTTTTGAATTATTGTTGAAAACAACATGTCCAATTGCTATACATATTTATACTTATTGTTCATTTTCTAATGATATCTTCAGTTCTTTAATTGAAATGTGCCTTGCAAACAGCAGAGCTATATCAGCCGAGAGGCTGCTTGTTAAATATTATTATAATTATTCATACAGACTCCTTTGAGCACCAAAGTTAACTTTTGTCACCATTCGGTTTATTAATAATTATTCCAAAATTTTGATTTAGACATGTAGCCAATAAAAAATTCTGTAAAAATACACAAAAAGAGGCAAAATGTTGCACCATAGGGTTAAAACAAGTTATAACCAATAAACTCATTGTTGTGAGATAATTTTACACTACCATATGTGCTTTATTAGTAGCGATGTGCTTGTGTAAATTACTTGGCTACTTCTATGATTACAATAAGTAATATTTTAATGATTCAGTATGTAATTTTTAGTTTATATGCACTTCTATTGCACATGCATTTTAAATAGAGCAAATATTGTTTTTAAAGGCCATCAACCATTCTAGACATGCATTTAATTAACTCCACAAATTTTAATTTTTGCTGCCTGCTCTCAAAAACGACTTTCCCAACTTGTGTACCATGTGATCACTGCTGCATAATGCATTATTGATGTGTTATGATGAAAAGATGTTATATCCAAAATATAATTATTTTTTTTGCAGATGATCAGTCGAATAGAGTATGTCCATAATAAGAATTTCATCCATAGAGATATTAAACCAGATAATTTCTTGATGGGTATTGGAAGACACTGTAATCAGGTGAGCTCTTATTATTTGCCATTTTCCTGAATTTTACACCTGCTCTCACTTCTTTGTTGTTGACAGTTTTGCTATGCAAATATTGTACAGAATTTCAGCATTCAACAAACGTGCTTCTTCAATGATCACTGTGTGCTAAGTTGTCAACATGATTTTAAACTAAATATCAAGATTTCTATAAGTAAGATACTTGTTATCATGATTGGAAGTAAGTCGTCTTTCCTGACTTTTCTTTTTCCTTGTATTTATTGTTTTTGTGTTTACATTAATTACATCTCTGCCTAAATTGACATCTTATTTTAAAATGTATTATTGTATTTTTATTATTAGGCCCCCAAAAATTATTTTGTTTCTAATTAACATGCAGATTTCTGATTTTTGTTAAATATTGTGTAAGTGAAATAAAAAGAAGGTTTTCATTCAATTATCAAAAATTTTTGAACCAGAAACTAACTTGTCATTTATTAGCATTAATTGTTTCCAATCGCATTATTTGCACTGTTTGCCATTATTCATTGCCAATTAAAAATGATCTGTCAATGATCAATTTTGTATTTATTTACACAAGCCACTCTGTAATATCAAAATAGTTGCATACATGTATTTAATAACGCTTGATTAAGGTTAAGTGTTGTTTAGCCTGTTAAAAAAACTGACCCTGTTGTTAATCATTTACAATGTAGCGCAGACAGACGTATAAAAATGGGTGTAGTTTGTCTAGAGGTTCAGGTGGAAGCTGCCCACATAAATAAAAACCAACGTGGCTATTGTTGTGTATCTTTTGTTCAGCTGTTTTTTCCTATTTCCAAGGGTTAACGGTCAAGGTGAACTGCATACAAATTAGTTGTCAATCATTTCCAGTGTTTAGTTGGCAATTTTCTTCAGGTCAGGTGTTCTTTTAAACCGCTAACCATGTACTCCCATATATTGTAGTTGCTGACTTTAACAATATTTCAGACAGTAACTGTATGCTTTTGTAATCAATGATTGGCTTGACAACAACCTCAGTATAAGAGCACATACCAACAGACTTTTGTCATGAACATGTTTTAGGTTTTGTACATAAAACAGGTACAGGTGGAACTGTCTTTATCAAAATAATCTAGTTGTCATGTTGGTTTAATTCCTGTTTATTTTATTTTGAATTCAGTGTTAGGCAGACAGTCTAAATCTAATTTAAAGAATTTTTATGCAAAATAAAAATAATTTTTCTCTACTAAGACTAGGAAATGCAGGTATCTGCAATGTTTTTCCCTGCATGTATTTTATGGTAGAATACCTTATTTTCTCCTGAAATTTATTTTCAGTGAAAGGATAAATCCAGTGAAAATAATTTTTCACAAACGATTTGCGTTTTATCAAATATCTTAGATGTATCAGCAGTGCAAAAATATATATTGCACTATGATGGTTGAGAGAATAGCATTTCTAAATTGTCAAACATATATTGACATACATTGACTCCCATGTGCGAAGCACACAATGGGAGTCTTTGCAGTTACCGTGTGTGTGTGTGTGTCTGTGTCTGTGTGTGTTCCACTTATATCTCGAGAACCATATATCGGTTTTTGATGAAACTTAGTGCATAGATGCTCTGGGCCAATGCACAGATTTGATTAGGTTTTGGTAGAAATTCATACATATTAATTACCTTATTTGCATGATAATTAGCTCATTTTAGCTGTTCCATGACTGTTCCACTGATATCTAAAGAACCACATTAATTACCTAATTTGCATAATTAATTTTCGGATTTTCACGTATATCTCAAGTACTAATCAACACATTTCAATGAAACTTGGTACATAGATCCTCTAGGACTGCAGAGATCTGATTAGTTTTGGGGTAAATAATTGTGCATATTAACTTATTTGCATAATTATTTAAAGGGGAACTAAATAGAGCCTATTTTGGTGTTTGTATTTATCAAGTTATGTATATTGATTATAAATTTGAAAAAAAAATTGAAAAAAATGATTATCTTCAGAGTTATGATGATTTAAATATGAGAAACCATAAACCTGCGAAGGACTTCCGTTTGCGCCATCTTGCCATAAAAAACGCCCTCATGAGGTATAAACAGGTAAGGTAACAAAGCATGATGACGAAATAGTATCGGATTAAATATAAGCAACTTAGGGAGCCGTAGTTGGCTGGACTGGTGAATTGACTTCTAGTCCAGATTGTTTCGACTTTCACGTTAATGTTATTTACAAGTGTATCAACATACAAACATTATGGATGTGCGATTGATCGAGACAGGCATTTTGTTTTGTTTTTTGTCTAACTGTCTAAGAAATGCTGTTTCCAGTACTGCACTGTGCGGCGTGAAAATTATTCAAAGTATGGATGCTGGAGTCTGGAATCTTGAGTTCGTAGGGTGATGGTGGAGACATTTTCGTCCATGTATTCACGGGGTTGCACTGGCAAATCATGGGACAAGTGTCACAGGAACACCAAGCAGATTGTTCACAGACTTCCGTGTAATTTGAAATAAAACTATCATCCGAACAAGGGGCATCGTTGACGATATACTCTCATCACTCACACTGGACTGATCTGAATCTTCACAGTATACCGTACTTCCCTGATCATAAGCCCGGAGGCATGAACACGCAAGGGAAAAGTAAGGGATGAGCTTGTACTCGAGGACCAACTCAGAAAAAATGATTTTGTTT